ATTGGACCCATCCTTTACTTGGGACTCTATGATTGCAATGCGTGCGTGAATGGGAACTTGTTGGAAGTGGCAGTCCACTTCCAGTGGATGACAAGGTCGGCGTGTTCGCGATGTGCCTCTTCAAACCACATTCTCTTGAATGCATCAGGTTTCAATCCCCAGGGTTGGGAATCTGAGTGCCAACCCAGCCAATGCCAAGTAGAGCTGCTTGTTCGACCTCAGGTCGTGTCTACTGTGCACAGTGCAAGCCCGGACAGCAGTGAGCAGTGGCTGAGACTCATGCCAGGTGACATCGCCCAGCCTTGGTTTGCTGCAACCACGCAACCAATGCTCGGCAATCCGACTAAGCCTGGATCTACTTACAAGTGGGCCGACAAGGCCCTTCGGTCCAAAAAAATGAACAGCCTGCCTCTCCCAGACTAAGAGACGCACGTCACGAGAGTGTTCGGAGAAGCCACCACCAAACCCATGACCTGGAAGCCAATGAGAGCCTGGGACAGGGCAAGCATCAGGCAGGTGGAAGCAACGAGCCCACCAAGGCAAACGGCCAAGGTGCGCCAACACCCGTATACTGTGCATGTACATGCATGGGCTACTTTAGGTATGTAGGTAGAATGACTGCACGGATGGATGGACGGATGGATGGAAGAATGAATCAATACATGGACGGATGAAACAATCAAACAGAAAGAGAGAAAGAGAGAAAGAGAGAAAGAAAGAAAGAAAGAAAGAAAGAAAGAAAGAAAGAAAGAAAGAAAGAAAGAAAGAAGGAAAGAAGGAAAGAAGGAAAGAAGGAAAGAAGGAAAGAAACACAGAAACAAAGAAGGAAAGAAGGAAGGAAGGAAGGAAGGAAGGAAGGAAGGAAGGAAGGAAGGAAGGAAAGAAGAAAGAAAGAAAGAAAGAAAGAAAGAAAGAAAGAAAGAAAGAAAGAAAGGCAGGAAGGAACCACAGACAGCTAGTATAGGCTGCATGATGAGCCAATGCGTAAAAAGGCCACAAAGCTTGGAAGCAGCCAATCTACGAATGCGAGTATATGAAGAAGGAAAAGGAATGTAAGTTATTTATTTTATGTACATGTGTATGTATATATATATATATATCGTGTAGCGATGAGAACCGCCCCCAAAACATCACCCTCATGAACAATGCTCTTGCCAGTGTTCACTCCAAAGTGGCCTGGAAAACGCCGATGGCCACGGTGATCGCCTTTTTCAAATGCTCCGAAAGCACCTGAACGGAAAGCAACGGATGAAATCCTTTGCCATGTTTCAGCAAACCTCGGCTTCACTACAAGGTACCATCGTTCAAACTGCAAGGATTCTTGGTAATTGGCCTAAATAAGCTTAAAAACGGCAAGCAATACTTAGCATAAGGTCAAAGCACTGGGGCCGAGGCCGTGGTCACAATCCATTCGCAAATGCCAAGTACGGCCAATAACCTTGGAGCGATTCAAATTATGTTGCGTCTGTGGCTACCTAATGCAGCATCTCCTGACAAGCTGGGCCTTCTGGAATATAGTACCGGTTCTCTTTCTTTGGAGAGCACCTTCCTTGCGTTATTTGTTGCTTGTATTTGGAAAAACAACAAAGGAACGCCACAAGCCGGGGCCATCTGTCGGGTCCAACCTCCAAACGGATCTATCTCTCATGGCGTGCCCGGGCCAGCGGCAGAAGCGCGGCGCCGCTCACAAAGCAGCAGCTCATCGCCTGGAGCCCGGTGGTTCAGAGGTGTGGCGCAAGACCAATGGGATCCCATTTTGGTTGGTAGGTGAATTCACCACAAGCCCCATTGTCCAAACAGCAGCAGGAACTGTTGGTTGGTAGGTGAACATCTTTCGTCAGTTTGAATGCGCGAATTCCAACATGGCCATGGTTCAAAACCGTTTTGGGATCCCATTTTGGGATAGGTGAATTCACCGCCCATTTTAGGCTTCCTATTTTAGTGGTTGGATTGGTTGATGTTCACTGGGGGCCAACCGATTTAGATTGTGACCTATGGCCAGGATCCCTGGTCAATAGAAGAAACGTGGACTAAAACCCGCGTGACAGCAGTTTAATTCTGAGCCTACCCAGGCAGTCACAACCAAAAACCCCTTCAAATCCCAACCAACCATCCAAACCAAGGCTTACCTGAACGCGGCTCTCAGAAAAACCCGAAAACACACCCAAAACCAAAAACGGCTTCTCATGTACCCGAAAAAAAAAAAAAAAAAAAAGAAGGGCACCCTGAGGAAGAATGAAAGAAACACCAAACATATGCAGTCCGCCCGGTGGGCACACCACTTGCAGTGTTTGTTGCGGGCATCTACAAATTGGAACATGGCTCTTGCTTCTTTTCATTATTTTCACCTTGCATCCCTTGTATTCACATCTCTGCAGGTCGCAACCCACGTGCCTGTCCAAAAGACACGTCGAACGCTCGACAAATCCCAAAGGCAAAGTACCTCCAAGCAAATATGCAGGGGAAAGGGTGGATATCAACATAGAAATAACAGCAACAAAGGGGCTTTCGTTCTACAAACAGCAAAGACTGCAAATGGCGGCTCCATATGTAATCCCGTATTCACATGCCTGTTCTACTCCGAGGTCCTACACAACTTGGCTGCTGAAACAATTGGCCATGGGTCAAAATCCCGTACCCCCAATGAACATCCCAATCCCCACTAAAATAGACTAAAATGGGTGGTGAATTCACCTACCCCAAAGTGGAATCCCATGGTTTTGACCCACGGCCAATTGTGTTGAGTGCATCCAGGAGTGTCGTAGGCGCACGCGTTGAGACCCATACCAGGCATAAGTCCTAGCGGAGCATTGCCTCGGAGGATCCGATCTTCGCTGGTGGATGACTCCTGATGTTACAGTGTTACCTTCAGGCATCATCCTTCTGGTTTTGCCGGCCAGGCCCAGTAGAAAAGACGTTTAGAGGAACCAGAGTGGTTGGAATGGCGGATGCCTGGACTTCCAAGGTGTGTCCTCCAGGCCACCAATGCTAGCACAACACATTGTGACAAAACTGTTGCTGGTTCTCAGGGAATGAGTTGGAATGACCCCCATAAACCATTTTTCCAGGAAAATCCCGAGAATCAATCCCAAACCCTGGACCATTCCCTGAGCACCAGCAAGAACTGTTGTAGCCATAGAATGCCGCTGAGCTTGTGGCCCGCAAGTCCCACTATCAAGGAGCCAATCGCAGCTGACATGGACGTCGCCGTCATGATGGTCTCCTACTCCGCACGCATCAAAGTGCACTAATTTGGCTGTGGGTCAAAACCCAGCAAACCCCTGGTGAACATCAAAATCAGTGGTACATGGGTGTTCATCCGCCCCAAAATGGAGGCATAGGTTGTGATTCATGGCCATTTCATGACGCAGCACCCGTGCATCCTCGCCAAATCTTGACCCGTTGGAACGACGCCCGGTCCGCGGTAATCCGACTCTCTGGATCAGCGCTGCCCAGGATGACTGGGTTCACGACGAGGATGTAGCCTGGCATGCTTCCGCCGATAGACATGCGGGAAGAAGTTGGTGCCTTTCTTACTGATATCACAGCCTTGGCTCGGCATGGAGAGGGAATGGAAGGTTTAGGATGAAGTTAATTTTCTGTTGGTTTGGCTTGAATGGGGATTAATTCAGGCATATCAAGTTGGCTCGGAATGGGTCTAACATTGGACAACTGCGAGCTTGGGGCGGCTTTAGGTTTTACATCTTGGGTGCTTGGCACTGCTCCACGACTTGAAAGGTTCAGACCAACTTGGCAAGCGGGGTGCGGAGACAAGCAAGTCAGCAGCGCTCATGGTCATCCAATTGATGAAGCCAGCTCGCACCTCACGGCAAATGCGCATCGAGACGCGACGTGAAAGCGACGCCCTGGCCTCTAGTTGAAGGCACGAGCCTCGCTCTGTCACCTGCAGCTTCAGGATTCTGCATGAACGTTTCATAAGCAAAGCTTCGTTCAGCATCGGAGGTGCTTACAAATTATCAGGGCACCTGAACCATGTCTACGAAGTCTCCCAGGCTTGTGCTCTCTGCACGTCGCCAAGAGGCCATGTCCTTTCTTCCTTTGGCCCAAAGAGTCACTTGCCTTGAAGAAGGTGTCTATGGCAGCTGCCCAGGATTCCGAGCCTCGCTCTAAAAACATATCTCGGCTTCTCTGGTCAACCCCCGGTGAAACCCGACTCCAACCCCGCCTTTGGGGCTGAGCGCAGCCTGGGCCGGGCGCTGGGAGGCTTTCAAGCGTAGGCACCCGCAATAACAAGGCCAAGGTCGCAAGCTGAAAAAGGTAAAACCGTCAGGCCATGCTTCAAAAACCACATGTCAGCGGCCTTGCCCTCGGCATCCAAACGTGCCTGGCATGCTCGAGGGATTTTGGCTCCAAGCAATGTGGGTCTCGCCACATTTGTCCGCCAGTGACTGGTTGTCTCAAATATCCACGCGGCAATCCAATGGCAGCCTGCCTCTGGCAGCGATGACAAGTTGGTCTTGGAATCATCCGCCCGCATGGCAGCTGAGCAGTGCAACCACCTCGGTTTTCAGGCGCCACCTTCTGTCCTCCTGCGCGACTTAATTCAAAGTGCCTCCACGTCAGAACACAGATTTCGAGGAGGCAGCATATGAAAAGAGGCACGAACGACACACTGAAGAGCTCAAGTCCATGGCCACAAAACTCTTTTTTGCCAAAACAAGCAAAGTCAAATCCGGGTTTTCTGTCGAGCCCCAGGCTGGACGCTGCGAACGGACTCCAACCACCAACTCTGTGCAGTGGTCAAAAGAAACTTTGTAGGCTGGTATCTCTCGCCCTTTGCAGCGGTAGATGTTACAACTCCATCAAAGAAAATGTTACTGTCGCGCTATCAATAGTTCCGTGCTCATTATTAGCTGGTCTATGTTTGGCTATCTTGCCTGGAACCACAAGGCTGCGAAGGCAATGCACAGCTGATTCTCAATCAAAATGCATCACGCTATATGCCAAGTTGAGTCTCAAACCTTAGAGCCAGAACCAGCCTCAACTGCTGCAGTGGAACCAGGATTCGGCAGGACGAAGGGGTGGTTGACCTCAACAGAAACTAAGAAGCATGTTGCATGCATGTCTCTTCTGAACCCTTGGCTGGCGAATCTCAGATTTCCTCATGCTCTCTGAGCTGTTGCATCAGCCAAAACCCCAGTGCCTCCAGTTTCATCTGGCGGCAGACGCTGCCCGTGTGCACGGCCAAGATCGGCTTCGGGGGCGCATTGGAGGTCGTCACCACGGTGAACTGCAGGGCAGCTGCATGCAACGCGAAGTCTGCAAGCTCGCCAAATTCTAAGTCAACAAACAAGGGATACCACGTGGAACTTGAAATAAGCTTTGACCGTAGGAATGCACCAAAAACATGCACCCAAACGTTGGCTCCTGTCTCATGCAACATCTGTTGGTCACGTTTTCTAGGCGCTTTGCAACAACCACAGGCCGGACCCCAGTAAACAAATTCAAAGAAGCATGTCACCCACAATGCTGGTTTCTATCTGTACCGCAAACGTACCAACACCACCATTGTCTCACCACTGTCTAAAGCTGCTTTCAAAACCACGTCAAAATGTGACAAAGCTTTGTGACATCATGTCCGAACAGTCAGCACACGTGAGCATCTGAAGCGACTGATAAGATGGCAAACTTCAGAGCTGACGCAACTAACTCCGATGTGTTGCCAAGGGCCTCCATGTCATCTAGCCGCGGACGCCCACACACACATCCCGCTTGAGCTGGACCGCAACAGGTTTTCCGAACGTGGAACGTCATGCCTTGCAGTGCCAACACCAAGGGGCAATAAAAGCGTTGTGTGTGTGTGTCTGTGTGGGGGGTCAACACTTGTGCAGAAACAACGCAAATCCAAGGCATGCATGCTGCCGCATTTTGTTGGATGCAAGTGCAACCGCTTCCGCAAGCCACACAAACGAAACCGGTAAGCAATTAAGTTCAAGTTCAGCGAATGCTGCAACATCATTAGCTTGAATGGAAGCATGATAACACCTGGAACCACGTCTGCATTTTGAGGGCATTTGCCATTTCAGCGGTGACTACCTTGTTGAAGGCACCATGAGTGTCGAAAATACATGAGCTTTGCTGACAACATCATCAAATCTGCCAAACATGGTTAGTCATCTATGTTCGAACCACTTGTTTTCGTTGTTTTCTGTAACCGGGCGAACGACACGCAACGGAGATTACATTTTGATTGCCTTGAGTTGGCATCAACCAATTACAATTCCTAACATTATGTTCATCTTGACAACGGCCATCACACAGAAGCAAACCTCCGAAAGCCGCGCAACACTGGAAACTAGCCGGCCTCGGGCCAAATCCACATGATTGTTAAATTAAATGAATATATATAGACTTTGAGCACAACTCCAATGCAATTACGTTTCAAACAGTGTCTAACGGAACAAAAGCTTGATGTCATGCGACAAAGCTACCAACTCAAAAGATCACACACGTGCGTTCCAGCCAACCAAACACAAAACAAGCATAGGCCACGCACTGGCCCATAAACCTTCAATCAAGTTTTTGCATGCCCTTTTGCATCAACGCACAAACAAAGTTTGGACGAACCTCAGCTCTCCAATTATTTCAACTTCTGGAGTGAAGTGGTAAAAGCATGACGAGATTAGATTTGTTTTGACCCGAGGCGCTCTGTGTCCAGCACGCATCTGCACCAAGGAAAGAAATGCACAAGAAAGGTGAGAAGTTATGCGACAAGGTGAAACGAAACAGAACAGTGAGACGTCTTAAAAAAGCGCCGGAACAATGCACAAACAAACAAACAACCAAGGCAAACAACAACAAAGGCAAACCACACAACAACACCAACACACACACACAAAAAACGGGTTCAGTTTGAACCCAAACAACCCTCACTTAGGCTTGTGTCCCCACTGGATCGGCTGCACATAATGCCAAGATAAGAACATAACTCAGTGTGATCTTGTCTAACGTAGTTGTGGAAGTGTGCATCATTTGTTTCATGTTCATTGTTCTTGTTCGTTTTCACCGAAACATTAAATCACATGGGCGTGCTCCAGCGAATCCCCGTCAATAGTTGCAAGGTCAAAACAAATGTGCCCACGTCTAGCGGACAGCGGTCCGTGATTTTGCAAGAGCGTACCGCGGGTGCTGGAGCGTTTGCAAACTCTAATAACAAGGAAGTTTGGGAAAGCGTCAAGACTTGTTGCACTGCTCCTAGCTTGAACCAAACAACTCTGACAAAACAAAACGCACAAGCTTCTTCCGCCCGTTGCGCAGCAGAATGTGGTTGTTTGGGCCCTTCCGGATGAGAGGCTAAAAGTCAATGCTGGAAGGCCGCAGACCCAGGTGAGAGTAGTAGCGCTGCCCCCGGTCAGCTGCCGTCCGCGCGGAAGAGCAGCTTGTAGGTCCCCGGTCCGCGCCGCAAGTTCAGCACAACGGCACGGCTCCATCCGCCCCGTGCAAGCCCGGGCGCCGCCAGACAAGTAACAGTAAGACAAACAAAAAACGGCCATTTGGCATTGTTTTCCGGACAGTTCTGTGTCTGTTGTCTCACTTGTCTTAATTGTCCAAATATCTCAGCAATTGCTCACAAACAGCCAATTTTGCCGCCTTTGTGTCTGTCTTACTGCTCAAAAACAGCAAAATCAACAGGTTTCGTGTGTCTCACTTTCTTATTTTTGTTCCACTTGTGTCACTTGCTTAAAAACACCCAAATGGCCGGTTTTGTGTTTGTCTCACTTGTTCAATGTTTCACCTCCCTGTCTTTGGTCAGGCTCCCCACTCTCGCCTGGCTGTGGTCTGCTCAAAAAGGACAGCTGAGAAATAGGACTGAAGGAATTTAGAAGTGCACCCGTTGGCGGGCGAGCCAGTATCGAAATGAGGTTGGGCAGTGTCCTGCACTACTCGGCTGCTGCGGTGCCGCTTGGCACTGTGCCTGCTCGGACTTCTACGGTGCCTGCGTGGCTGCCCAACTGAAAAGAAGGCACCCCAAACCCCAGACCCCCGGAGTTGTGCTTTGCCAGGCCTCACACGACAACAGCCTGACAGAAAAAGAACTGCACATATGGCCGGAAGAATGTGAGTCGCAGGCAAAACCGTGCGAAACACGCTGTTCTCCCCGTCCGTAATTGCACAGATGCCCCAGAAAATGCGAGAAGCACGGCGCGGCCGAACAAAAAAAAACTGGCCCGTAACAAAAAAGACAAGTTGGGCAGACTTCACGGAGGCTGCGGACGGTCTCACTTGTCACTTCTCCGGCTCTGGGAAAAAACTTGTCTCTTCTGAAGGCTTTTTGTGGGACCTGGTTGGAGATTGAGGAAAACTTGTTTTTTTTGCAGTTTGAGGAAAACTTGCGATTTTTTGCAAGTGAAAGAAGTGAGACAAGTGCGAAACCTGTCGATTTTTTGCTGTTTTTGAGCAACTGAGACAAGCGAGACAAACAAGACAAACACAAAAACGGGCGGCAATTGCTGTTTTTCTGATCAATCCTGCTGAGAAATTCAGACAAATTGACGCAAGTGGTGCAATGAGACCACACAGAACTGCTCGGAAACAGCGCACCAGTTTTTTGTTTGTCTCACTTGATGATACTGGCTGTCCAACTTGTTTCTTGTTTATACCCAACCCGTTGCGATACTGGTTCGTCCCAACCAACGGGTCTTCTTTTCTCCGTTTTTTTTCTGCATACCGCAGATGATGCTGAGGGTGACAGGAGTAGTAAGGAACACCAGCTTATAGGGACCAATTAATTTTCGTTTTTTGGCCGAAGAACCCTGCAAAACAGCCAAATTCTCCATCCTGCTGAACGTTTTTCCGATGTCACCGGTCTTTGTCACCGCTCCGTTTTTGGTCGAAAAAGTGCTCAAAACGGCCAACTTCCCGAATTCCCGAAAAGTTCGTTTTTTCCTGTCAGGCGGCAAGCGAGGTGCCTCAGCCGCTAGATTTGCTCGGTTTCGGCCAAAAACAAGCTCCAGACGCTCACGCTGCTCTCGATTTCCGTTTTCAGCCCGGAAAAGCTGGCAAGTTCCATCCCGCTGAGCTTGTCACCACTTGTCACCGCTTCGTCACCGCTCTCTTTTGGGCCGAAAAAGTGCGCAAAAACGGCCAAGTTCCCGACGTCCCGAAGACTTCGTCCTTCACAGGATTTTCCGTTTTTCGCCCAAGCACGACAGCCTGCCGAGGTTCTCGCTTGTGACCCGACAACCTGCCGAACTTGTTACCGCCTTTGTCACCGGGTCTAACACGCCAACCTGCCGAACGTCCTTGTCGCCAGGGCTAACACGCCAATCTGCCGAACGCCTTTGTCACCGGGCTAACACTCCAACCTACCAAACTTCCAGAGGGCTCGAAAATCTTGGCAAGTTTGAGTCAATATTGAATCGGCTTGAAACAATATTGGTTCATTAATGGGCAAAGGTTACCCGGTCGCGGCGGGATTCGAGCTCCGGACCAGGGTGGTGCAGAGACAGCGCTTTAACCACTGAGACAAGGGAGCTTCTTTTGCTGGAAGCCGGGCGAGGTTGTCACCGCTTGCTTGTCACCGGGGCGCTTTTGGGAGCCCACCAAGCTGTCCCACGGTCCGTGTCACCCCGTGACACAAGCTTTCGTAATCCTCCACGGCCGGCTCCGCGGCTTCGGTCTGAAAGCGAGGCCGGCTCCGCGGCTTCGGTCTAAAAGCGAGGCCGGAACTCTTTCCACCGAGGTCGGAATTCCGACTTCGCTCTCCCACCGAGGTCGGAATTCCGACTTCGCTCTCTGTCCTATATCATAACTATGCACACAATGCATAGTTGGATATAGCAAGGACCCGGGGGGCTGTGAGGCGTCCTCTACAGACCCGCCGCTTGAAGGCCCGGGCCTCCTCCTTCTGCGAACCTGGACGAAATTTTCGGCGATTTGTCCCGAAATTTTTGAGCGTCGTGCGCAGCTCACGGGTGGTATCACGACCTGGCCCCAGGAACTTGATTTGACCGACGCCATTGGTCAATTCATCGTAGCCATGAGCTACAACCCGCGTTACAAGTACGTAGCCCACCAGACTTTGGTCACTCCTAAGAAAACATGTTTGAAGGACCTGTCACGGGCAACATCCCGGAGGTCCTGAGGTAACTGACGGCACGCACGTCACCGCAGGGCAGCTTGTCCTTGCTCTTGCTCTGACGCCATACGCACAAGTGGCAGACCTGGCCGTGAACACGGCAGCCTCCGGCAACAACGCGCCGAGCTGGCCTCGAAGCTGGACAGCAGCGCACTGGCGCCGGCAATCGCTCCTCTAACCACGGCAGCAGCCCTGGCCACCACAGACGGGCAGGCTGCGCACGGAAGCAGCATCGCAGCGCTGCAGAGCTTGCTGACCACGGGTCTCTCCAACAAGGCAGACCAGTCGGCCTTCGACGTGCTGGAGGGCGTGGTGGCCACGAAGAGCACCCCCGACGGCGCGGGCCTGAAGCTGTCGAACTACAGCACCACGGCTGCCATGAACGGCTCCATCGCCTCGGCCAACAACGCCACGCTGGCCACGGTGGCAGCCAACTACGGCCTCAAGACGGTGGTGGACCAGCACTCCCTCCACATCGCAGCAAGGATCACGCCGCTGGAGGTCGACACCAAGGTGGCTAACGCTCTCCTGAGCGTCACCACCGCAGCGCTGGCCTCCGAGCTTGCAAGTCGAGACGCCTCCATCTCGGGGCTGCCAA